CTCAACTCACTGCAACCTCCACCTCCTGGGTTCAAGCGTTTCTTGTGCCTTAACCTCCTGAGTAGCTGAGACTACAGGCACACCACCCTGTATTTTTTTTAGTAGGGATGGGGTTTCACCATGTTGCCCAGCTAGTCTCAAACTCTTGACCTCAAGTGATCTGCCTGCCTTGGTCTCCCAAAGTGCTGGGATTACAGGCGTGAGCCACCACATCTGCCCCCAATTTCCTTTTATACTCATTTTTTTCCTTGATAGCCTATGAAAAATACCTGTGTTCTCACCCATAGTAGCATTTCCCAAACCATGTGCATGAATGACAAAGGATTAATCTCATTGGTGGAATGTGAATTCTTATCAATCAGAAACAGACCAAGGTGTGCTGTCTTATCATGACCTTTTCTCCTAGTATTTGGGCCTATTTCATTTCAGAGTTCAGAGTTCAACTTCTGCTCTTAAATCTTAACACAGGGTTACTTTCTTCAAGTTCCAGGCTACAAGAGACTGCTGTGTTTGGAGGATACCTGTCATTTATTTGTAGGTCGAAATTCTTCTTACCTTTTCGTTCCACTTGCCTCCTCCCGTTCTAGATTTTCCCCCTTTGAAGTGAGATTAGTGTTTGTCCTAATACAGGGACTGGGGGAAAGTTCTCAGAGGATCTAACAACAGCAGCAATAGATAAATTAAATCGTACTAGGTACTGTCATTCAGAAAAGCTGTTTACAGACAGAGCTATTTTGAAGCCATTAAAAAATGCTATTCATCTCAAACTTGCCATCTGTCTTCAGCCTCTGCAACCGTCTACGGCGTTAGGGAAGAGATTAGTCTCTGCGGCCAGCTTCCTTCTAGCTCTCCCGTGACACTCAGGGAGGCTCTTATGGGAAGAAGGCAATTTATTTCAGCTGCACAACCACACAGCTAACTCTTCACAGCAATTATACAGAGCAAATGTATCAACTTCTGCCAGGGGAGGCAGGAGTTTCCTTTCTGGTCATTAATAATGAACTCTTCAGTAAGTGGGGAAACATTTACCAAATAAAATGGCCTATTATAGATGATCCCCTGGGCAGCTGAGAAATCGTGTGACCGCTGAGGAAAGAGCGAAGCCAAAGAGGCTGATGTTGTCACTCGACCTTGCTTGGTTGTCCTGGAAGCATCTCTGAACCGGCAGAAGATGTGACCTACTGGCTCTTTGTGCATAAGTGTCTAGTCCGAAAAGAAGTGGCCTGGTCTTTCCTATATTGAAATTCCATTGCTTCCTTTCCTGGCAGCTGCATAATTGGGAATGCCGTGAAATAAAAACGAGGAGGAAGAAAATTAGAGCCGGGAAGTGTCAAGTTGATCGACTGCCAAGTTGGGGGATGGGAGTGTCCGGCAAATTCAGATTCTTTCAAGACCCCCTCCCACCATGTCACCCCACCATTTAAAACACTTGTTCCTCACACTTCAGGAAGTCTCTGGAGGCTCCTATCTGATCTAATGCTTAGACTATAACTTGGTCTACAGTGATGTATTCAGAGGACTCTTTTGCAGTCGTTTTAATGAGCGGAATTCCTGAAAAGGTGCTGACATTTTAATGCCTCCTATTGACACTTTACATTTAAAGACAACAGGCTTTGCACTGCATGCAAAATCCTTGCAAATCTGAATGCTCTGTGGTCTTAGCCACCTTGCTCAAACACGGGGTATAATTGTTAATAGAATAGATGAGGGACATGTTCATTTGAATGCATCTTCATACTGAAGACAGCTGAGCATTACTTAATTGATGTTCAACACCCTTCAGAGGTAGGAGTGTGTTACCCGGCTTCTCAGATGGATGACTTCAGGCAGTGGAATGATAAAATCCAAAGCCTCAGGGCAGAGATTGTGCCTTTGATGAATTCTGCAAAGGGCATAATGATGCAACAGTGATGGGAAAATAAAGCCATTAATAATAGTGTGATGAAACCTGTGGCTGCTCAGCTGCTTAAGAATGTAACCTAGCTCTGGTGTTTTGCCAAATTCCTTTAAAAATTTGGTCCACACAATCATACGTTTGTGAATTGAGAGCATGTATGCATTCCTTTCAATAAACCACAAAAGATGAGGTGATGAGAACCAACTTGACTATTTTGAACTTCAAAATGCCTTAAAAACTTTGGAAATATTATTAAGTTTTTAAAAATTTAGTCATGAAACACATATTCATTGAAAGGCAATGATGTGCAAAGGACTGAACTGGGTGCTTAGTCCGTGCCCTCCTGGCTTACTATCCAACAGGAAATAAAAATATATAGTTCATCACCATACAGGCTGATCACTGCAGACAAGGGTAGAGACTGTAGGTTATGGGAGAGGATTCACATGGGGGGCACCTCAGCCGGTCTTGGAGAGTAAGACAGGAGTCCCAGAGAAATCATATCAAATGATATTTAAACTGGTAGCTTAAGGAATAGTAGAAGTCAACTGGGGGAAGGAATGGGACTTGGTAAGGATACAGTGGACACGGGCTGCTATTTTAAAACTGCAGAGGAGAGAATGGATGCAGAATGTTAGTAAGACCAGGCAGTTCAGTTGGTTTAAGTCAACTGTATCTTAGTGAAAGCTACCCAGTTATCCCTCCACACCTTTAGAAGTGAGATCTCCATACAGAGATACTTCCCTTGAAAGAAGAAAGAGAGAGACAGAGAAGGAAAGAAGGAAAGAAAGAAAGAGGGAGGGAGGGAGGGAGGGAAGAAAGGAAAAGAAGATTAAGGATTGGTGAGGATTGGCAACCCGGTTCATAGATAATGTGCTACCATAGATAATGTGCTACCCGGTTCATAGATAATGTTCTTAGATAATGTGCATATGATAATTTATTCATAGATAAAATTTGGTAAGAGAGTTTGAGGAAAAATTTCTGAAGGAAGACTGACTCAACATGAATTTTTATAATGGTTCACTATTTATTATTTCAACTTTCTTTTTAGTTTATTAGGTTCATGGAAAAAAATTAGTACATTCAACAAAAGCAAACATTATTTTTCTTCGTTACAAACAAGCAATGTCAGACACAAGGAATTGAAGTGACATTTTCAATCTCATTCGGGCCTATTCTGGGGGACAGGTGGCAAGGTAGACACAAAGAGATGATAATACCTGTTTCATCCTGAACCTAATGAAATGGAATGAACAATAAATTCATAAATAAAGCCAACAAATTATTTAGGAACAGTGCTCTAACTTTGGAAGTATCTAGAAATGGAAAACTCTGGAAATGGATGCCTGGCCCAACATAAAATTCCTCCAGAAAGAGTTCTATGGATATAATACATAGACAGAAATCCAGAACAATCTCCTTAATCTTACAATCCCCACCTAACTTCCATTCTGGGAGTGAGATATGCTACCCAGTTGTGAAAATACTATATGTCTTTTCTGATTAGAAGTTCTTCCTTGATACCTTGGATAAAGAGTATTCGACAGTGAAGGAAGAAACCACTAGGCTTACCATTCTATTTTTGTCTCACTGGAAAGAAGGCAAGAGGTCTAGTATTAAAAAATCACCGGGAGTTAAATTTTTCCACTAGCAAACACGGTTTTAACAGAACAAGAGGAAAAGAGACATAAAGTCACTGAGGATAGTGATGGTTCAAGGGAAGATGGAAAATGTATAGGAAGCCCCACTGTACAATAAGGGTACATCATGTCCCAAATCCTTACTTTTCTTTTATTACATTCAAGCTGGAGTGGCATTAACTGCTGTGGGAGGCATGTGAGCCAGGATAGTTTTTAAAAGGGAGGACAGGTTGTCCCCAAAAGAAGCAATGGCTTGGTGGCCCAGCTTGCATGAAGGACTAATCCAAAATTTGAGGGCATCTCTCAGGGCACAAGACACATTTCACCCTTTAACAGAATTCCAGAGAAGAGAGCTAAATCAGAGATCATATTCACCAATTGCAATTAAACACAATCTTAGGTTTACTCCTTCCCCTTGCCACAGCAAGAGAAAAGCAGAACATAAAACTAAAACTATTAGAGCACCAACAGAGGTAAAGGTTGGGAAAGAAATCAGGAAAAATCTATCTATATAATTCTGGGGAAAGTAAAAGGTCTGGATAGA